CTATCTTCACGTTGAGGTCGGAAACTTTTCAGACCACCCTCGTATTTCATTAAATCTGAATAATTTAACCGTCATGCAATAAATACTGAAGACAGCAGCACCGAATAAAATATTAGTCCTGCCATGTAAATAACTTTTACATAATTTTTGTGATAGTTTATTTGAAAATATATCCCATACAGCACCAAATGTCTGAAATACATCCCAGAGACGTTCCAGAGACAATATGATATCTCTGGGATGTATTTCAGACATTTGTACTATATAGATATTATGTTTCGATTTTGATAAAATTTAATACTGAACTGGACTAAATCTGAACTGGACGATCGACCAAATTAATTCACATATATAAAAGCACAGTATTTTATTAGCATAATGAAAAAATATCATTATCTGCTGTTTTATTGCAATGATTTTCTATACAGTCCCTGGTAGAAAATTAATTTCGAATTATCATGCCAGTCTCTCTTACATTATTTATACGTTAAACGGTTTCGTCTATATTTTGCGGTTTAAATCTCTAAAATTTTTGTTCCTTAAACTTTAAGTGGGCAATACAAAGAACTTTTTATCAAGTGAGGAATTGTCTAAGACGTAGGAGGCGTAGTTGTCTAAGGCGACGGACGATTATCCAAAAGATGTCTTCGGTTTAAGTTCGAATCTTACCAGAGAAAATCTTAAAAATTATAAAAAAATAATATAAAAAAATTTTTTCTTTTTCATTGTATTTTACGAGAATTTTTTATTGTATTTACAAGTATTTATGAGCATTTATGAGAAAGCGCTCATTCTATGAATATTTATGAAAAATCATGAGAAAATTTTCTACTAAAGATTTAATTGAAGAACCTACAAAACGACAAGATCTGCGCCCAATCTGCCGTCATTCTGCTGTCACATATATATCTACAAACTCTGCGTGCATACTGCTGTAAGTCTGCTATCAGAGCCTGTCGGCAGGTTCTGGCGACAGTCTAACAGCCTATTGGCTTGATAGATGATTATGGATCTGACGACAGAGTCTGTTGGAATCTGATGTCAATCTGACATCAGTCTGCGCTCAATTTGCTTACTGGGTAGCTGGACTAAAATGCTGCGGTTTTAGCTGCGACAACGTTGTCGCAGCTATTTTAAATCTTTGTGTGCTACTTGAGTATATACACAGTTTAAATATCACACTATGCATACACATATACAGGGTGTTCCATTTTGACCAATATAATATATAGCTAAATATTTGAAAAACCATTCAAGATAACGAAAAATATTTTTAAATCTCGAACGGTTTTTTAAGTATTTACCTGTGTGTATCCTTTAAAATAAAATACTCAATATATGTGTGTGTATGTATGTGTGTGCATGTGTGTGTGCGTGCATGCGCACATATCGTGTACGTGCGTGTGTATCAAATAATATGTTAAGTAATCATTATACCATAAGAAAATAACGCATAGAATTGACGATTTAATACATGATGTCCATTCAGACGAATAAAAAGGGTATTTTTAAAGCAAAGGACTCATTTTTTTCTCAAAAGCTCAATTGCCACTATTGAAAGGTACTTTCGGGATCTTGTTGAAAAGATATAGATCGGTAAACAAATAGTTTATGTAAACTCTTGCAAATCTTAGTCGCTATTTCACAATAAAAGTGTAAGTTCTAAAATTTTTTTTAACATTAATCACTTTTTCAATTATTTAAAGAGAAACAATTTCACTGAGTACATCAATATCTATGAGAATTAACGTTTTATACTGTTGAGTTTTATACCGTTAACATCCCGCGAGTGTATATTCACGTAGCGCCTTGTTCATACAATAGTCATCGAACCGGTACAAAATCACACTTAATACACACTACAAATGATAATAGACGTCACTTCTGTGTATAATTATTCGTGACTCCACTTTATTATTTTATTAATAGTAGTATTGATTAGTTATTCATACTTAACAGAACATTGTATTACATACGCGGTTATATGCTTGCTATATATTTATAAATTGCTAGTATTACATTTGTATTTTTATTATCTCTTTTATATATCGTGGTTATAACTTCTTTTTTTAGAATTCGATACGTTGATTATTATAATTTGTACACATTATTTTCTTGAACAGCGCTTTATCGTAGCATTAGTTTTCTATGTTTACTTTATATATATTACTCATATATACTTTATTTTATATATATATATATATATATATTACTCATATATACTTTATTATATATTACTCATATATACTGCAAACGCGTGAACTGAGTTGTATGCTTTACGCTTTTATTATCCTTTTTATGAAATTTGATCAATAATTGTTACATATTCTCTTTTGTAGTTTGTTAGCCTTGCTACGTTCTTTCTGTAATATGCACTATAATTGTACTATATAAGCTAATTATACTATTAATGTATTAATTAATTATAAAAGCTAATTGT